GCGGGCGCCCCAGAAGGCCCCTCCCCTCCTCCTCCTCCTCCTCCTCCTCCTCCTCCTCCTCCTCCTCCTCCTCCTCCTCCTCCATTTCCTCCATTTCCTCCTCCTCCTCCTCCATTTCCTCCTCCATTTCCTCCTCCATTTCCTCCTCCTCCTCCTCCATTTCCTCATCCATTTCCTCCTGTTAGCCGTTCTGGCACAGGTGTGTTTGATACTGCGAACTTCAGAACGGCATTGCAGTATCGGATCAGGTGGCTCGTTTCTGACCGCTCCACAGCGTTTCCCTTCTGCCATGTCCAATGGAGCCTGGCAGACGCGCGGGCAAGGCAACGGTGCCTGGCAGCCTGCCCCGCCCTGGCGTGGCCCGACCCAGTGGGGCAGCCGCGCGGGCAGCGGGCAAGGGACTGCTTGGGCAGGCCAGTGGAGTGGCAGCCGCTGGCGGTGCAGCCAGTGCAACTGCAACAAGAACATTGACTCGTGGATGTTCTGCAAGCATTGCGGCGCGGAGAGGCAAGGGCCAGCTCAGTGGCCAGATCTCCCGCGCCATCCTGGGCCTCAGTTTCCTCCTGGTGGCGGTGCAGGTGGCAACGGTCTCAACGGCAGCGTCGGAGGCGACTCCCTCTCGGCCGACGAGCTGCGCCAGCTCATCACACTCTGCGAGAAAGGAGGTGACATGTCTGCCGCCAACAAGCACAAGCAGGCCCTGGACAAGCTCACGAAGTCAGCACAGCCCGCTCCTGTTCAACAGCGGGCCGCTAAAGCACATAGTAATGTTCAATACTGGGAAAGGAATTTCTCCGTCGAGTTGGACCGCCTCGGCAAGCTGGAGGATCAGCTCAGTGTGCAACGGGACGCCGCTGCTGCTGCACGCGCTGAACATCATGACGCCGACGACAAGTACAAGGAGCTCGTCAGGGAGTTGGCTGGAGGCATGGTCAGTACCGAAGACTGTTCAAAGGGAGTCGTCGGCAAGATTGATGTCTCTGAACTCATGGACGGTAAGTGCACCGTTTTCGACCTGGTCAGCCTCGACTCGATCTTCAAATTCGACGAGAGTGAATACACAATTACCAAGGAGGATAAGGACGAGATGGAGACACGCCGACAGACGCTCAATGCCCAGTTCCGCGATCCCTGCACATCCATGTTCGCCGACGCCCTCTCGAAGGCCAATATCATTCGCGAGGAGCAGGCTAAGCATGTGGCGAGGTTGGGCAAGAAGCGGCGGGCCGACGAGGATGGAGGCACTATTCCTGGGGCAGCTGGCGGGGCACCGAAGACACCGCCTGCCGCTCCACCATCACATGAGCCACAGGCGGAGCCTGCGGCGGCGGCTGGTGGAGGCAGCGGCAGCGACGCTGCAGCAGCCTCGGCGGTGCGAGAGCGTGCGGCTGCGGCTCTCGACAAGCCTCAGCAAGGCCCGCCCCCTGCCGTTCGCATCCCATAAGGACGGCAGGGGGGATTGTCTCCATGAAAAAACCTTTTGTAAGCTCGAGCCTGTGGATCGCCTCGCTCGGCCCATCTCTAAATTGGATACGTTTCTCCGCTATCTGTTGTCTTCTGCCGACAGTGGCCCAGCGGCCACGGGTAGTCTCGGAAATGGTTTTGGAAGGCGTGACACGTTGTATGTGCAGCTTTTAGCATATCCGCAGACGAGCCTGTCGGCAGGTAGCTCCGCCCCCCACGTCAATTTTGGTATCGGTGACGTGGGGTGCGGGTTTTCTCAGCCCCTGTTAGGGATGTCTGACAGTTTTGATTTCTTTGGGACCCCCCAGGCCCTTGGTAAGGATGCCATTGCTCTGCAGGTTTGTAGTTGCAATTGCACGGCGTGGTCGTCAGCCAAAGAATGGTTGCCGACCACGGCGGCTGATGTAGTGTTGTTGCAAGAGCATCACCTTAGAGAATGTCAGATAGCTGAGGCCCAGGGTTGGTTGCTCAAGAGCGGTTGGAGGGGCCTCTTCGAACCAGCTAAGGTGACTCGAGAAGATACGGATGTGCACACCTCAGGCGGGGTGGCGGTTCTGGTCAGGAGCTTTCTTGGACTGCACGAACCGATTGGAGGTACTAAGGTATGCCAGCACCGCGCGATGGCAGCGTGGACGCATGTAGGCAATGGGGGCCCCATCCTGCTGATCAGTTGCTACTTACACTGTGTTGAAGAACTGAGTGATGCGAATTTAGACATTCTCGCTGGGATCGGCTCCACGGTCAGCTCGAGCATGTCCTCGTACATTATCGGAGGGGACTTCAACATGGGCCCCGCGGTCTTAGGCAAGTGCCAGTACGTTGAGTCCCTGGAGGCCCAGTTGGTGAGCACGGAGTCTGGGACGTGTCTGTCTTCTGCGGGAGTTCGGGTCCTGGACTACTTCCTGGTTTCTAGTGGGCTCGCTAAGGGTATCAGCTCGATCCAGGTTAATCGAAATGCCAACATAGCACCTCATTATCCTGTGGAAATGACGTTTTTCGAGCAGTTGGAGGACCTGAAGGTGTTATCGTTTCGGAAACCACCTCCACTTCCTGTCGAACAACCTATTGGTCCTGCCCCTGCCCCCCGTGACTGGAGCCAAGTTCTCAAACTTGCTGAGGGAGTTTTTGATTGTGCACAACGTGGGTCTCGTGAGGCATTTGAGGGGCTCGACGGGCTGCGCAAGTCTTGGGCAAACATGGCTGAGTTGGAGTTAGAAGGGGCCCTCCAGACCAAGTTGCATAAAAATGGCTGTCGGGGAGAAATTCCACAAGTCTGGTGGGTTGACATTAGGAAGCGAGACAAACGTCCTGGCCGACACCATGCTCTGTTCTGCGTTCGCTGGCTTTGTCAGAATTACCGGCTCTGGTGGTTTCATGTTCGGGCTGGAGAGCCCGACAAGCCCGCCAGAGATCACGCAAAAGCAGTCATCTGTTCCCCATTCGAGCTTCATTCTGGACAACTTTGCTCAGAGCGAGTTCAGCCAGTTGTACGCAGATGTCTGTGAGTTCGTAGGGAAGGATGGCCAGTCCTTCGATGATTGCTACTCCATCTCGGCGCGTCTCGCGGACGCGCTGAAGTCGGCCTCTCTCGCAGCCAAGAACGACGCAGACCGTGCGTGGAAGGAGTGGCTTCTGAAGGACATCGACCAAGGTGCACGCGCGGCCCATGCTTGGTCAAAGCCTGCCGAAGCCTGGGCTCCGTCCTCGACGCTGTCAGCATCGGGTCAGGTGCTATCAGACCCTTTGTCGCTACTCAAGGCTGAAGGGCTTCGATTCAAAGGCCTGTGGCTGGCTACCGAAGGAGCCGAATCCATTGACTACAACCAGAGCCAGGACTTCCAGCCTATGTCGGCATTGCCTAGAGTTCCTGTTGACACCATTCGTTCGGCAAGCCGTTCCTACAAGAGTCGATCTGCAGTCAGTGTTGATGGTTTTCACATGAGACACTATCGGCTTCTTTGCGATGAAGGGCTTGAAGTTCTGTCTTACATTTTCGGGATCATTGAGATGATGTCGATTTTTCCCATCCAGATTCGTTTGGTGATGCTGGCTATGCTCCCCAAGCCGATGGGCGGCCTGCGCCCGATCGGTATCTCCACGTCCACTTACCGCATGTGGGGGAAGATCGGGAGGGAGGTAGCTGTGGAATGGGAGGAGGCTCACACGGCAAGTTTTTTCTCAGGTAGTGGGTTTAAGAGTGCCACTGATGTTGTCTGGCGCCAAGCTGCTCGTGCCGAAGGGTCCACACGAACAGGGGGATATGCGGCGTCAGTCTTATGGGACATGTATAAGTTTTATGAGTTGATGGATCTTGGGGATCTCGAGGCTCGGTGTCTTAAATGGGGCTTCTCGCACACGGTCATCAAGGTTTCGCTAGCTTCATACACACCGGCTCGTTTCATTAACATCACTGGTTTCCTGGCTGGGCCCTTCCTGGCTTTCAGGGGTGTTATTGCTGGCTGCAGTCTAGCTACAACATATGTGCGCATTTATTACATGGAAACGTTCATGCAGGTCTCTGTGGGGCCCACCATTAGCATCGACCTCTTAGTAGATGACATAGGTATATCTAGCACCGGCACTTCCAAGCAGGTCTTGGCTGATTTGAAGTCGGCTACGGCAGCTGTTTATGTGGCGGTCACGGAGGATTTGAAGTCTGTTATCTCCCCCGACAAGGCCAACCTTGTTGCCAGCGACGCCGCGCTCGGTAAGCTGCTGGCCGGTTGGCTCGGGGCCTTGTCGGGGCCCAGCTCCAACCACTCTACTGCAGTCAACTTGGGGATTGATGACGCGGCAGGGAAAGGTAGCAGGGCGCGGGGGAGAGCGGTCAAGCGAAAGCAGAGGGAGAGAGGATCTCGGAGGAAGGTGGAGCGCATCAAGAGACAGAGACATATCCTTGGCAGATCAGCGCGGAGGATGTTCTGCAGTGGCCGCTGCCAGGGATGTGCTACGGAGCTGAAGTTCACGGTCTAAGTAACACTGAGTTAGGTCGGATCAGGCAGCAGGCTGGTAAGTGTTTACGGCCGTCATGTGGTGGCCGATCATTGTCTGCAGCGCTAGTGTTTGAGGATGAGCCTTGCTGGTATGGGATGGTTGCGCCGATAGTTTGATGGAGCAAGGAAGTTTGGGCAGCGCAGACAAGGGCTTACTCATTCTGTTTCAGCATGCCAGAGCTGCGCCGACTTTGGTCTTCTGTTTTTGAGTCCGCCACCCTTCCCACCACTTGGGGACGCGTTCACGGACCCATCAGTGCGTTGTACATGTCAGTAAAGAGGATAGGGTGGCGAATGCGGGACTTTGCCACGCTGCTTGATCATCGTGGCACTGCTGTTTCGCTCACGTATGTCAGCCCTGCGTCGCTCAAGGATCTCTTGCGAAGGGCTGTTGTTCGGGGCCTGGAGAGGTCCATTGCTGTCAAGCTGGAGATGCCCTGGGACCGTGCGTGTTTTGATATTGCAGAATCAGAAGCCCGCAAAAAAAACGCTACACGCCCATGGAAAAAGGAGCTATTCGTAATCTGGCCTGTGGAGGCTGCT